CACGAGAGAAGAAAATGCGCAATTTTTTAAATTACAGAGAGGTGATGCCGTTAAACAAGAGATAACTAGTTGGAATTCGAGTGTTTATTATTACTACCCACTTCGGAAGTGTGCATTTTAATTCTCCGAACGTCTCCGACCAGACCCAATGGAACAGTGTTGTGAAAGATTAATAATCCACCCAGGCCCGAACCGATCACCACCGGAAACCAGGTGCGCCGCCAGTAAGACCAATAGCTCAACAGGTAGTGTCAGTGCTCGGGGCGGGAGAGCGACCGAGCGGGTGGGGAGCAGGTCAGACAGTCTCACGGGGTTCTAGCTGTGGAAATATTTGCTCTGTTGGAGCGGAAGAAATGAATCTACGGCTGTCGCTCCGGCGGGGCTCTTTCTGTCAGCGTGCGCGCATGGGTACCCAGGAGGTCCCTCTCACGGTACGGCATCCTCCCAAGAAATGGAGCTCAGGTTCGTAGAAACTGGTATCCTACTTCCTGCCTTCCTACACGCTCCTCACGACAGGCTCAGAGTGAGAGGGGCCCGACGGAGCCGACACCACCACCACCGCTTCCCTGGCCCGGTGGGCGCGGTGCTTCTGGGTGCCGCCGTCGAAGACGTGGTCGACCACACGCGGGACTTCGACGGCAATGTGTCCCTGCAGCTGCCGCAGGCTGAGCGCCGCCCGCCGCCTAAAAACAGGTCGTTAGGCAAATGAGCCCTGAGTGGTGGGCCCCGTGGGGTCCGGCAGTAGTGCACGTTCCGGGTGGGGGTTTGGCTGCTGCAGTGCTTGTGCCCCCTCCCTACTTCCCTTTCATCTCCTCCCCCACCCTTGACACAATCATACCTGGAGAAATATGTACACAAAGAAGAAGGGAGAAAGAAAGAACATAGGGAGGCAAGAGGGGACGCGCAGGACTAAACTTACGCGTTGAACAAACTCCGTCGCATTACTTATTTTCCTGAGCCACCGACCCAGATGTGTAGTGTGGCAATAAATCAAATCAAAACTTTCCTTTCCCCCTCTCTGCTTTTATTCCCCAACCCCCTCTCTCGCTCTCTCCGTTCTTCTATCCTTTTCGTCCGTCCGCGTTCGTTTGCATCTCTCTCGTGGAATAGTATTGTTTTTAACAACCCGAAACATGCAGACCACCAGAAACAATGTTGAGAAGGCCGCGAGGGTATTCATATTTGACACAGTGTGTTTGGGCAAGAGACTAGACCTAGTCTCTTGGTTTAGGTAATTGAATAATTGCGAAGGGGAAGTCACCCTTCTACATTTTTGCCGGTGTCGTCAAGCTCTGGCGACTCGATCACGTCCTTAAGAGGCAATCCGTTCGCGGTCCGCGGCTTACCCGCCCCTCCCCGCGCCCCGCTTTACCGGTGGTGCGCGCGGACCGAGAGGGGGCCGTGCAGACAGGGGGGCCGCGGTCAGGGGGATTTCCTCTTTCAATTCCTGCGAGATTCGGGCGCGTCGAGCCCCGGGGCCGCTCTCCGGACGCGCGCGGGGTGGGGG